TAGCTTAGCCCAAACTTCAGAGGACACCAGCTTCCGTTCTGTCTCCAAAATACTCAGACCCTCTACAGCAGGAATACACAATTAGGAACCAACGATTGGAGGTTGTTATATAGAATAGATAGAATTGGAGGATGAAGCCCTCCTAGTACCATTAGCAGTGGGCACCTATCGTACAGCGCCCGGGGAGCAGTGTGTAACAGACAACAGAATTGAAGGTCATTGTTAAAGTATTTCATTAAGATCATTCTGGATGCTGGTACCGTGAGTGCAGACAATGTCTTCATTGAAAGTCTTCATGTTATCCTCGTTGCCCTCTGAGAGCTCTGAGCCAATTTATATGTTTTCTGACAAACCTTTCCAAGGCCAATTGTATTTCAAGACAGAAACAAATTGGCATTCATGTCTCTCACCTTTGCTGTTGCTGTGTGGTCCCTGTCCAGTGGTCTGGCCTTTGCTGGGTTTGGTTTCCTGTTCGTCTTCGTCCAGCTGCTCTAATGCCAACTGCCTCCAGCTACACAGAGAGGCTTTGCCCGTCCAGAAGCCGACCCCCGGTGCTTTTCACTGCGTTGGCCGTTTTAGACGAGGCTGAGGATGATTTGCCCGCCGGTTTGCTCTTATCCGCTTTACCTTCCTTTCCAGCGAGACTTCCCACGGGGCTGCGCCGGGAAATGCGGCTGCCCAGGTGAATGCCTCCCGGCTTGACGCTCAGAGTCGGGGTCCCAATCCCTCCGCGAATCTTGGTGAGCGACCAACCGGGTACATCCTTCGGTCTGGCCGGGGAGGGTACAATACGCTCCTGACGACGACCGTTTTCTTTTGTTGGAAACCACTGGTGCATTGCACGCCATGTTGTTTGCAGCTGTATTGAGCTTTGGCCCAGGAAGCCGTACCCACACAGTGACGTCACTGGGAAAGGCCCGGATCGATGGAAGCACCCAAGGTCATTAGGCGCGTATTTAAAAAAATTAATTTGCGTATCTCGATCGTTTACATTGGAAATAGACTAGATAAATACATTTCCTAATGGGAATATTGTCGCATGGAAAGCAGTTTGAAAAGTGTTTCCATTTCCCTTTAAGAAGTATGGCAAATTACCGCACCAAACTCCGAGGCTACGGTGTTCCTGAGGTGATGTGCAATGTTCCATCTTTACACCTGCAACCGCTAGGCTTAGAGAAAACACTTTCAGAAAGTAAACGTGTAAGGATGCAGGTGAGGTGTCAGTGTGCTTCAGCACTGGGTGTAGCGTCAGTTCACTCACCAGGCACAGCTGGCAAGGCTCTTCGTTTTGGGTGAATTCTGGGGCTTTGGGGAAGTATTCCCTTAGCTTAGCCCAAACTTCAGAGGACACCAGCTTCCGTTCTGTCTCCAAAATACTCAGACCCCCTACAGCAGGAATACACAATTAGGAACCAACGATTGGAGGTTGTTATATAGAATAGATAGAATTGGAGGATGAAGCCCTCCTAGTACCATTAGCAGTGGGCACCTATCGTACAGCGCCCGGGGAGCAGTGTGTAACAGACAACAGAATTGAAGGTCATTCTTAAAGTATTTCATTAAGATCATTCTGGATGCTGGTACCGTGAGTGCAGACAATGTCTTCATTGAAAGTCTTCATGTTATCCTCGTTGCCCTCTGAGAGCTCTGAGCCAATTTATATGTTTTCTGACAAACCTTTCCAAGGCCAATTGTATTTCAAGACAGAAACAAATTGGCATTCATGTCTCTCACCTTTGCTGTTGCTGTGTGGTCCCTGTCCAGTGGTCTGGCCATTGCTGGGTTTGGTTCCCTGTTCGTCTTCGTCCAGCTGCTCTAATGCCAACTGCCTCCAGCTACGCAGAGAGGCTTTGCCCGTCCAGTAGCCGACCCCCGGTGCTTTTCACTGCGTTGGCCGTTTTAGACGAGGCTGAGGATGATTTGCCCGCCGGTTTGCTCTTATCCGCTTTACCTTCCTTTCCAGCGAGACTTCCCACGGGGCTGCGCCGGGAAATGCGGCTGCCCAGGTGAATGCCTCCCGGCTTGACGCTCAGAGTCGGGGGTCCCAATCCCTCCGCGAATCTTGGTGAGCGACCAACCGGGTACATCCTTCGATCTGGCCGGGGAGGGTACAATACGCTCCTGACGACGACCGTTTTCTTTTGTTGGAAACCACTGGTGCATTGCACGCCATGTTGTTTGCAGCTGTATTGAGCTTTGGCCCAGGAAGCCGTACCCACACAGTGACGTCACTGGGAAAGTCCCGGATCGATGGAAGCGCCCAAGGTCATTAGGCGCGTATTTAAAAAAAAAAATGTGCGTATCTCGATCGTTTACATTGGAAATAGACTAGATAAATACATTTCCTAATGGGAATATTGTCGCATGGAAAGCAGTTTGAAAAGTGTTTCCATTTCCCTTTAAGAAGTATGGCAAATTACCGCACCAAACTCCGAGGCTACGGTGTTCCTGAGGTGATGTGCAATGTTCCATCTTTACACCTGCAACCGCTAGGCTTAGAGAAAACACTTTCAGAAAGTAAACGTGTAAGGATGCAGGTGAGGTGTCAGTGTGCTTCAGCACTGGGTGTAGCGTCAGTTCACTCACCAGGCACAGCTGGCAAGGCTCTTCGTTTTGGGTGAATTCTGGGGCTTTGGGGAAGTATTCCCTTAGCTTAGCCCAAACTTCAGAGGACACCAGCTTCCGTTCTGTCTCCAAAATACTCAGACCCTCTACAGCAGGAATACACAATTAGGAACCAACGATTGGAGGTTGTTATATAGAATAGATAGAATTGGAGGATGAAGCCCTCCTAGTACCATTAGCAGTGGGCACCTATCGTACAGCGCCCGGGGAGCAGTGTGTAACAGACAACAGAATTGAAGGTCATTGTTAAAGTATTTCATTAAGATCATTCTGGATGCTGGTACCGTGAGTGCAGACAATGTCTTCATTGAAAGTCTTCATGTTATCCTCGTTGCCCTCTGAGAGCTCTGAGCCAATTTATATGTTTTCTGACAAACCTTTCCAAGGCCAATTGTATTTCAAGACAGAAACAAATTGGCATTCATGTCTCTCACCTTTGCTGTTGCTGTGTGGTCCCTGTCCAGTGGTCTGGCCTTTGCTGGGTTTGGTTTCCTGTTCGTCTAGCTGCTCTAATGCCAACTGCCTCCAGCTACGCAGAGAGGCTTTGCCCGTCCAGTAGCCCTGACCACTGACACACATCCACACACCATTCATTTAGATATGCAATTCTGGATTGCTCATTGAGGGTTCCATCTTATGAAAGAACTGCACTGGTTCTGAAATACCTCTCTTAAAAACGTAAGAGGCCTGCAGATCAGAAGTCTGCAAAAAATGTCAAAAAGCCACGAAAGGCAGTTAAACTACCTCCCGCCTTACCCAGCAAGAGAGGACGAGGAAAGTCAAGAACAAGAAAGGATTCAGTTGCTTTCGGAAGTAATGAAAAGGGACAACAACAAACTGATAAAAGACAAAATGGCAAAAACGTTTGCACACAGAAGAAACAAAATCATCAACCAATCACCCAGTATAGAGGACATCAAAGCCAGATGGCCCGCTCTATGAGGCATCTCATGTGAGTTGCATTATAATGACATGGTTATACACTTTGTATTACTATAGTTTTAAATAATCCTTGGAAGTGCAATTTTGTAAGAACAATATACTTGTACACTAATATTTGAAGATTTAATTCTGGTTTTATTTGTCTTAGATCCAGGATGAGTTTCAGAGAATTACAATGGTGCAGCTAGATTCAAAGTTCATGTCCAAGCTGGATGAACACACTCCCAGGCTTCTGAAACGTTTCCACTCAAAGGGAGGCAGCATGGGCTTACAGTTGCAGGCTATTCTTCTCATGGTATGTTATAATGAGTATAATGTTTGCTACCTGTTTTTTGTTGAGACTTTTTGAAATGTTTTGTAAATGTTATTAGATTCAGAATGTATTCAAATTCATTAAGTTTAGTTGTTGACATTGTTGGAAATGTGTATAATCAATAATGTGTTTATCATAAATGTAGACTTTATGGCAAAACGATTGAATTCCTGTAGATTGTACATGAGCACATATTTAAAGTGGTGCACATTTTGCTCACTACCAAAAGTTCAGGTTTGAGACTTGCCAAAAAGTGCTTTGATATCGCTGATTCTGTATAACGTTGTTAATGGGATACCAAAACCCGAGACCTGCAATGGTTATGTTTTTAACAGTTGTTTTAAGCACACAAAAAGGTAGGCTGGATTAGAAGTGACGGGAAGCCTTTCATTAAACTAGTCAATCACATCAAGCACCCTTAATAGGGATTTAATAGTTATCTAAGGAACCTAGGTAGCTTTGACACATTTTAGTTAAATGGACGCATTTTACACCACTGACTTTAGTAACGTTTATTTTGGTCATTTCAGGCTCTAAGCAATCCCAGCATCGACATGAGCAGAGGTCTTGTAATTCGGTGTCTGATGGTCTACCTCGGGGAGTCCACAGACCACCTCCTAAAACAGTATGATGTAAGTTGAATTGTTCAAATATAAAAAGTGGAATTGAATCTCTTATTTTTCACACGATTCATGTGTTGACAGGAAAAATGTACGTGCAGTCTCTGTTCATCTTAATTAACTTAATAACCTAAATAAACTCAACAATTTAATTGAATGAATATAAATGGTATGCTTTTAATATAAATATTTATTTAGACATTTACTATCATACAACAGTGATAGGTATTAATGGATTATAATAGACAAAGAGGATCAAACAAAACCACAGTCTGTGGAAACCTTAAAGGGGACCTATCATGCAAAATGCACCTTTGGACGTCTTTTATACATGAATATGTGTCCCCGTTGTTCCAGGGAACTCACCAAGTGTCAGAAAACACAACCCTCTCTATTTTCCTCCTTCGCCAAATCTCTAAAAAAGGGGCTGAAACGGATCTGAAAAAACCGGATCCAGATTTCAACACTTTCCTACGTCACAAAGAGACGTGCTCCGCTTATTGGTCAACTCTCCACCTATCAGGGGAATGAGCCACGGCCACGTGCATTGCCAAACCTCTCATTCGCATATAGGCTATCGGCAGGCTAAATCAACTCCAGTCACATCTGTGTTTTTGTCTGCTCTTGCCAGGATGTCTAAGCGAGTTAAACTTTGTGCTGTTGTTGGCTGCAAGACTCGAGAAGGGGGACTGCATGCAATGCCATCAGTGGACAAAGAAAATAATCTGTGGCTAGACTTCATTTTCAAGGGACATGTGCCAGAAGACCACGGCAGATTTCTGTTTGTGTGTTCCAAACATTTTACCACGGACATGTTTATGAACTTCTCTCAAGTCCAACACGGATATGCCTCCAAGCTAATGCTAAACCCGGGATCAATACCAACCATCCGGGAGCAGGCCAGTGAGGACACATCCAATTTTGAAGCTGTAAGTTTTTATTTAGCGGTGTTTTTCCTGATAAAGCTATCTCTAGCTTGTAGTATGTAGCATGTAGCTTCGCCGTATCAATGTCGCCTCAAACCCAAATAGTAATCGGTTAGGTGTTTATATGTTTTTATAACATTTTATATTGTACGCTCCGCAGTCTTTGCTTTGTCTTTTATTTTAATTATCAGGCATTTGCTAACATGTTCAGACATACTGCCGTAATGGCGATCTGTGTGAAGGCTGTTATTAGTATTGTATATCCTCTAAAATCATATTGAGTAAGTTATAATAACAAACGTAATCTTCTGTAGGTAAGTGCCGTTTTTTCCAGCGTTATATGTAAAAGCTTTTGTGATTGTAGTCTGTAAGAACGATCAGATCTGTAAGCTAAGCTACGCTACGCTAATGAGACATGCCGTTTTTTCCAGCGTTATATGTAAAAGCTTTTGTGTGTTTACTTGTTTACGCACATGAATATAAATGGGGATGTGTTAGGATACAACACTGTGTGTATGTATGTGAGGGGGGACACACACCATGAGTAAAACAGAACTAAAGCCCCTTTGGTCTGTTGTTGTTGACGAGGCCTTACCTAGCAACAGGCTAATTAGTGGCTAGCACTCATTACAGTCAGTCTACTGAGCTCAGCCCCTCTCCAACACATCATCTGTATTGAGTCAGAAACACAGCATGCACGTTACGGTTCAAAACTAACTCAGATTGGAAAAGGCTAAGCAAAGAGCTTTGCTAAATAGAGAGTTTTAAGCCCCCATCTTTTGGGATTTCAGACGATATTTATCCAAATAGTATTTTCTCATCCTGAATACTAAATTGAGATGATTTTGTTTTCTTCTTTACAGGCCAGCACCTCACATGCTACCAGCAGATTACCTGTGATGACAGATTCTGCATGTCAGACTGACCCACCCAAGTACCGTACTGTTCGTACACAGCTATCCTCGAGGACTCTTGGTTCACATCGAAGTACAGGTTAGAAGCACGTTTTTCAAATGTTCTTTGGATACATCTTGACATTCTGATGTTGTAGCCTTTAATTTGTGTGCTTCTAATTGTTGTAAAATATTTTTATTTTATCTTTTGTTTTGTTTTTAATGTCAAATACAATTATGTTACAGCTGTCCAGGCTAAAATTCCCTGCAGAAGCGTTGGTGTCGAAACACTTCCGTTGGAAGTGCCAGTGCCCTTTTTAACATCCACCCCCTTAAAGAGACCACCAAAGAGGCCCCGTGTGGATCTTGAAGAGGAATACGAAGATCCATTTGAGGGAAGCTCTTCTTTGGTGTTTTCCGAAGGCCAGGATGCAACTTATGATCCAGCAGAATCCATAACAAATGCTACAGAAACAACAGCCATGTCGTAAGTTACTGAAATATCACTATGTGTGAGTTTGTCTATGTATTGTATTTTTTGCTGTATATAATTCAAACATTGATAATAGGGAAACACCAAAGATCTCTAAAGCAACAATCTGTGTGATGGATCTTAACTTCTATTTTTTTGTTTTAGTGGTCAAGAACAAAACCCCCCCCAGACGATCAACACATACATCGTGTATGAGACCTGCCTCATGGAGCTTTTTGAATCATGTCCTGTGTGCAAGCGTGTGTGTGATGTACAAACCAGAAGGATCGGTACATTCATATCAGTGCAGCAGCTGTGCCCCCATTGTCAGTTTACAAGAAACTGGAATAGCCAGCCTGTTCTTGGGAGTACTCCAGTTGGAAACCTGCAGCTATCAGTTGCAACATATGTCAACGGAGCATCTTTCTACAAACTTTCAAAGGTAAATTAACTGCAGAAGATTGTTTTGCCAATGTTTGAAAATGCAAATGTTGTTGTTGAATAAGATAGGACAAGGTAACAATAACAACAGTGAGAAAAGGTGGGAATAGGGCACTGTTAGGTAACGACCCATGCTAATATGTAAAGATCTTTTGGGAGGGTGGTGTGGAGAAAGAGAAGAGATGTGAAAGGGGCACTGTAGAGCAAGCACCCCTAATGACATGTTCAGCTCTTTCCCTGTTTAAAAAAAGGGCAGCTCATTTGCACTTTCCAGGTTCTCCTCATTGACACATCTATAGGTGATCTTTGAGATTAAAATGTATTCTTGCGGTTTTCTTTCAACCATTAGGTCTTCAAAGCAATGAATATGCAGCTATGCAAATACAACCCCTTCCGAAGGCATGCCAGGATGTTCATTGAGCCAGCGATTGTTTCTTACTGGCAAAAATCACAGGAAGGCATGCTACAGAAGCTCCATGCAGAGGAGAAAGTGATAGTTGGTGGTGATATGAGGGCTGACTCCCCAGGTATGTATTTTTTATATAATTCACATTTTACATTTCAGAAAGGGGTTTCACTATGTGTGATTTGTTCAATTAATGGTTCCTGAAAAACATATGCTAAACACTACAAGCAAAAATACAAATTCACCATCCGCAGAGAAAAGTAATTACTGTAAAACATATTTTCACAGGCCACTCTGCAAAGTTCGGAAGCTACACTATGATGGACCTGAAGAACAACAAAGTCGTTGACCTCCAGTTGGTTCAGGTAAGTGGGGTGAAATGAAATATCAATGTTTTTTTCTTTAACACTGTTTGCACGTTATATTTAAAATGTGTGTATCAATGGTTATTTGTATGTGTCATAACAGAGAGGTTGGTGGAAGCTACCACATGGAGTTAGAGGGCCTGAAAAGGAGTCTGGAGTTGTTAAAGGAAGGTGGTGTGACTCTGGACTGTATTGTCACGGACAGACATCTGCAAATTCAGAAATTCCTAAGGGAAAGCAGCATCACCCAATTCTTTGATGTGTGGCACATAGAAAAAGGTATTTTTCTTTATATTAATTTCCATGTAAATACAATCATTATTTTATTTAGACACAAACCCGGCTTCCTACAATCGCATTAGTATAATAATATTTTGAGTAAACTTGTATGTATATTAACTACATGTTAAATGTATTTATTAGGGATTTCTAAGCAACTGGAGAAGGCTGCAAAAAAGAAGGACTGCGAAAAACTTCGAGGGTGGGTGAAGAGTATAAGAAACCACATATACTGGACTGCAGCAACCTCCACCACCGGGCCTGAGAGAGTGGCCAAATGGACTTCCATCCTGAACCACGTGCAGGATATCCACTCTCATGATGACCCCCTGTTCCCCAAGTGCCTTCATCCACTGCGCATTGCGCAATACCAATGGATGGCTGCAGGTATGTTGTTCATAAACCATATTACATTACTCCTCTATAAATATTTGTAAGGGACAACTATTGAATACAGGATGTTGTCAGACACAATCTATAAAGCATGACAATTCAAATATGACTTTGATTTTCAAATTCTTAGGAACGCCGGCCTTTCACAAGCTGGAGACAATTCTCTCAACCAAGAGGATTTTGAAAGCTGTGGCCAAACTCAGCCCACACCACCAGACTTCATCTTTGGAGTCATTCCATGCCGTCATCCTGCGCTTTGCTCCAAAGAATGTTGTGTTTCCATTTCTTGGAATGTTGTGCAGGTAAAATAAACCATAGTTACTTACTAATTAGTGACAATTTGTACATTCTTTGCTATTATTTACATTTTTTTTGTACTCATGGCGGAAATGAAAGACTGTACCTGGCAGCCCTGCACTACAATGAAAACGCTGAGCGTGCACAAGCCACTACATCCACTGGAAAGCCTCTGTATAAACTGCAGTTCCCAAAGGCCAGGAAGGGAGAATGCAGAGCAAAACCAGTAAAGACTGACCCCACATTCTGTAAGTGTTTAAAATATTTATTATACAACTATTTACAAATATAAAATAAATAAATTAAAAAGAACTTTCAGTTTTGTACATGCATATACTAATGTAAACCACATTTTTTGTTGTGCTTTTTTTAACATTGCACAGGCTACGTGGCCAACTTGATGGACCTCATCTTCGACCAAGTCTTTGTGGACCCTGCACCATTCACACAGGAGCTTCTGAAGATACCCATCCCAGAGGACCTGTGTTCCCAATATGAGCGACCTGACAGGGAGGAGGTCATCTCCGGGTATGCTACTCGGTTCAATTTGGCTGCTGTCTGAACCCAACATAGATATTTCGCGGATCAGGAAACTCTCTGCGAATCCTGAGGACAACGCAGGCCGGAATCACCACTCTGATCCTGCGTCCAAGGAAGCCCCAGCACCAGCTCACAAATCTTCTGTAGGCTAGATACCTGTGACGCCTGAAATCATTAAAAAATATATTTAGTGTCATTTAATACAAGTACATTTAGTTTTTTTTTATGGGTTCAAAGAACCGTTCATTTTGACAATAAAGTTCAGAGTTGATATCAAATGTGTCGTGATTATTCATGTTTGGATGGGTAAAGAATATTCTGATTTCAAAAGCATAAGGCTGTGTGTGGACTTTTTTTGTCGTGCACTTGGGTGTGTTATGCCATTGCTGTGTAATAATATATATATATATAATAGTACATGTACAATGAAAGATTGCATAAAGCCATATACACCAGTATTTATTTCCATGAACAATATTAGCATTCGTTTTACAATTTCAGTCAAAACAAACAAACCACTCACTGCTCTATTTGCCTCAACTGTAGTCCACCATGTTCAGCTCTGTAAATATTAAATGCATTCTGCAGGGAGAACACATTCAGGCACACAGGCTCCAATCCAGGATGGTCCACCATACAGGTTACAGAGTCCTCAAGTTCCTGTATCCGTCTTGACACCTAGTGTGATAAAGATATATTGAATGACATGTTAAAAATGTATTCTCTAAACAGACAACTTAGTGAAGCTATCAAAAATGTTACCTGTGGTATCTCCATACAGCACACATTCTCCGGTTCAGAAGGCATCGTGGCGCAATTTGCACATGTACACCTGTAGAAAGAAGTCAATAACTGAGCTTTTAAAAACACATGAAAATGAGGCGAAGCCTGCGAGCTAGTTCAGGCAGTCAACTCGAGCACTTATGCTGCATTCATACATAACGCCCCTTGCCACTCTACAACCAACCAAACAGAGTCTCCTTAATACGCCGCTCTATTTAACCTGCCAGATCTCTCTCCATGCATTGCTTGCTGCTGCTATTGCTGCAGCTACCTCTACGTCGCTGCTGCTTGCCTGCCCCAGCTTCCACCCCAGCTTCCACCTGTAGGCTCGGGGGTTAGTTATTTGATCATCACTCATCGTGCTATGTATATCTATGGAGTGATGATGCCCGAGCCTAGTCGCCAAACTTAACTATATGCTGCTTCTAATAAACATGTTAAAGGAACACGTGAGTTGTCTGACTGAACTACACACATTGCTGACAACTGAGGTGTTGTTGGAGTTATACTTGTTATCACCCTAAGTTATTGAACTTTCCAACGGTTGTTGCACGATGTTGGAAGAAAAGGACTGTAAACTATTAATAAACGCAATGAGGCCATTGTATATATGCTGAAAATATGAATGTCTCCCTTTATAAATATGTATTGCTGTTTTTGCGTTACAAACTATAAGTTACAAACTGTACACATTGCATTCTTGCTAATTAGCCAACATATGAACGGAATAAGTAGCAAGCATCGTAACAGAGTAAAATAAATAGGGACAACAGCTTGTCAACTAACCATTCAGAAACGTCCTGCTGCAACCGAGATGTTTCCACCTCCACCAAAACCTCCGCTGCTTCAGGGTCAGTCTCTGGATCAAATTCATAATATGCTTGAACACATGCATTGCTCTGAGATGACATGTTTATTCCACACGTAATCACAGCAAGCATGGTAACGTGACTCTCGCCAGCGCATGCCCCGCTCTTCTGCAGGGGGGCGTGGTCAGCTGCTGCTCAGAATTTTCAAAGACAGGCTTGGAATAGAGCGAAAATGAGCGAAACGAGGCATGGCTAAAAAATGATCCGTTTGGTATTTTGAAAAATAAAATGTATAAATATACCTTATATAGGTATGGTCATACACTATATCATTTAAATATAGCATGATAGGTCTCCTTTAAGGGAAAGTGAAATGTTAAGGCCATGTTAAAACTGTTACGTGCTGCTTTGTTAGAGGCTTGCACTGTTGTTTAATGTAGAAGGATCTCACTTTAAAGCCTACTGTGTTCCTGTCTTGCTGGGGTCCTAGTTATATATTGTGCCCTGTTTCACAGGCGGCCAGTTTTACTCGTATGCACAAATAATTGGTATTATTTGTTTTGTGAACTTTTTTCTTGTTTTCTTGTTGCCCTCACAGAGGGACATTTAAACACAGATTCTAATTATATAGACAATAATACAAAAAGAAAAAACGGAGTTAAAATATAGGGAATCCCTTTCCCAAGACACCATGTATACACATCACATACATTCATACATTCCTAATCATCTACAAATGCACCAAGGTGTGCATATGTAAAAGCTTAATTTACATTAATGATAAATAATTCGTATTCTGCACAAATAAATATACCTGCTGTAAGTTATATGCTTGGTGGTTTGTCAACTGAATGTGTATAATGTCTGTGCCAATAAGAAGGTGACAGGATTAGGTATAGAAATGTATGAAAACAAAGTGACATCTAATATTATTAAGTACATTTTAATTAATTTCAGCCAGATATTAAGTAAATATAAATTAATTTCGAACAGATATTCAGTAAATATAAATTAATTTCACAAAGATATCCAGTACATGTTAATCATTTTTACCCAAATTGTTAATTAATTCAAATCAATTTATCTTTGATAATTAGTAAATATAAATCAAATTCTACCAGATGTTTAGTAAATCTAACTTAAGTTTGTTCAAATAATAGCTTAATAAAAACTCAATTAAAATGAATAAATATAACACATTTTGACTGTTTCTTCAATTAACATTTACTTAATATAATTATATTTTATTAACTTAAATTTATTTAGAACTTTTTTATCAAATTGTTGTGTTTCAAATCTAATTAATTATATTAAGTGTCACTTTGTTGCCACAATTTTATTAAGTAACTATAGGTCACAGTTTTTACAGTGTGTGTGTGTGTGTGTGTGTGTGTGGCCTAGCATTACTATCCTTGTGGGGACCTAAATCTGTTTATATAGTCACGTGTGGGGACTCGCCTCCCTCATGGGGACAAAATGGAGGTCCCCATAAGGGGAATCATTAGGGTGAAGACTTGGTTAGGGTAAGGGTTAGGGTTAGATATGTGTTGGTTATGGTTAAGGTTAGGATAAGTCTCCAGGAAATGCATGTAAGTCAATGTAATGTCCCCTGAAGTGATGCATACATGGTGTGGGTGTGTGTGTGTGTAGGTTTGTGTGTTTTTGAGCGTAGGTTTGTGTGTGTGTGTGTGAGTAGGGATGAGTGTGTGTGAGTAGGGTTGTGTGTGTGTGAGTAGGGGTGTGTGTGTGTAGTTTTGTGAGTAGGTTTGTGTGTTTGTGAGCACAGGTTCGTGTGTTTTAGTGTGTGTGTGTGTGAGTAGGGATGAGTGTGTGAGAGTATGGTTGTGCGTGTGAAAGGAAAATGTGAAGCAGATTCATGCGCGAATGAATGCTTGTGTTTCCGCTATTTCTTTCTTTCTTTGTATCTTAAATCAAAAACCCTGACTGAAAAACGGTCTGAGACGCTATGATGTACCCCAGCACTGTCTAAAGTTTAAACATTTTAAGTTCTTTTATTTCACACAAAGAGAATATTGGAAGACAGTCAGCTGGTAACGGGGGAACAGTCCTCGGCTGCTCTCAGGATAACAAGCTTTCTCTAACAAGGATATATTTTTACCCAAAACCCTTGCCATTTTGCAGCGTTGAGTTTCCTCTCATTGCTCTGGTGTATTGGTGGTTGAACAGTGAAGAGAAAATGTTCCTTCACACATCGAATGAAATGGATTACATACAGTAGACCAGGGGCGCCGTAAGGGGGTGAAAAGTTAGGACGATTCTAAGGGCCCGTGACTGACAGGGGCCCCAAAATGTTTAGAACATTAAGAAAAAAACTGTAAGTAACCTTTCATCAATCCTCAATAATTAATATTAATAGAACGTTATATTAATAAATTACTCACTAAACTTACGATTCATTTAACTTATTTTCTTCCAAAAGTTCATTACCCAAAGCCTCTGTACACCCCCTTCTATTTAAATCATGTAATGGTTTGGTCCTGCCTCCAAACGCGGTACGGCACCAGCACTAACACTTGCAGAGAGTGAAAGCATGTGAGGAGGAATGCTAGTACTTAGCTGTGTTGTGTTGTACCATGTTTCAACGACCAACAAAGTCAGGCTCTAAGAAAAGAAGAGAAAGGAGAGAAAGAAAAGAGAGAGGGACTAAAGGGCGACAGTATGTCACCCAGTTTTTCACAAGAAAAGGTGGGTGTGGTCCATGAGTGGTGGAAATTAGTCTGTTAGCTAATGTTTTTTTGTTTACTAAGCTGACATTAAGTACTGTTAATATCTTTACAGAAAATTCAGAGGTCTTTCATTTCACTGCTCTTTTAGCTGACATTTAAAGGTATGGTATAATTCACTTCAGAAACACTTTTTGTTATATTCCATGGAATGCTCTTAACATCCCGATAGCAATGAATACATTAAATGCTTTGACAATAAATACATACAAAAATGTCATCTGTGGAACCTGTGGCGCTGTAAAAAGCACGACCAATCATTTTAGCCGGCCCGGCTAAAATAACTGGATGGCCTACCTGCCTGTCAGCCTTCCATCTAGGGCAGGGGTAGCCAACACGGTGCACGCGGGCACTCAGTCGCCCGCAGGGGCAACGTGAGGCGCCCGCCGGGCATGTTCTAAAAACGTTGCTTGATTTGCGGGACCAGCGTTGCAGTCGGGAAGAAAAGCAATGTGGCACCTCCCCGCTGATTTTCCTTCTGGCAGAATCAACACATCAGCCCCATTGAACAGCCTATCGTGCCAGCCTATATACAGCACATGAGGGCCAGAGTTTTACTCTGTGTGTTGTAACTTGCATATATTTATTCCACTTGACACACGCACACACACGCATGGCGTAATCTCCAGGGGGGACATGTCCCCAGCACTTTTCGAAATCCCGTTTGTGTCCCCCCACTTTACAAATATGTTTATTTATTTTTTTTAACGCAAGCCGTCATCGCCACGGAGGAGCACACAGCCTATGTGTGTGTGTGTGTGTGTGTGTGTGTGTGTGTGTGTGTGTGTGTGTGTG